TAGGTGTTTTGCTTTTCATTTTCCACTCATAGTCAGGCCTCATGCTTTAGCGTTCTATAGTGATGACTGTGGTGACACCTGGCAGATGGGAGAAAAAATCCCAATGAAATCCTGCGAATGTGAGATGGCTGAGATCATAGACCACGCTGATGGGAGTCATTTGTACTGCAACGCCCGTAGTACATGTGGCCACAGAGTGGAGGCTTTAAGTGAGAGCAGCGGGGCAGCTTTTGGCAACCCTCATGTTGCTCAGAAACTTGTGGAGCCCCATCATGGCTGCCAGGGTAGCGTGTTGAGCTTCCCTGTGCCCGAGCCATTGGATGAAGTGGAGAAGAGCCCAAATGATTGCTTGACACAGTCAGACACAAAAACGTGGTTACTCTATTCCCATCCAACTAGTAAAAAGAAAAGGAAGGATCTTGGAGTTTACTTGAATAAATCACCCTTAAAAACTTCTGGTTGGGGCCAACCATGGATCATCCATAAGGGTCCCAGTGGATATTCAGATTTGACACAGTGTGAGGAGCGATTTGCCTGCCTCATGGAGTGTGGAGAGAAAAGTGAGATTGAGGAAATAGCCTTTGTGGAATTTAAACTCAGCAATTTATTGTGCACTTGAAATGATAAAAGTACTTCCTATGGCAAGTTTTAAATGAATAATTCACCCCAAAATGAAAATTTGCCTAAACTTTGTTCATCATCAAGCCATCCAAGATATAAATGAGTTTGTTTCTTCATCTGAACAAATTTGGAGAAATGTAGCTTAATATCAACTTGTTCACCAATGGATCCTTCAGTGAATTTGTGCCGTGAGAATGAGAGTTCAAACAGCTTATTTAAAAAAATAATTCAAAAGTTATCCACACCACTCCAGTCCATCAATTATTATCTTGTGACGCGAAAAGCTGTGTTTGTAATAAACAAATCCTTCATTAAGATGTTTTTAACTTGAAACCATTGAATCAGTCCTCTTTACTGAATCAGACGAGAAATTTACTTGCAATGTTTACAAGAACAATTCTAAATAATTATTTAATAAATAAATATTTCATCAGCGGTTTGGACTCTCATTCTGACGGCATCCATTCACTGCAGAGGATCCATTGGTGAAAAATGTGTGTAATGCTAAATTTATCTGAATCTGTTGCAATGAAGAAACAAGCTCATCTACATCTTGAGGGCGAGGGTGAGTAAATTTTCTGCAAATGTAATTTTTGGGTGAACTAGTCCTTTAACGTTTGCTTCTGGGTTAGATTTGCTTCTTTCTACTGGATACAAAACAAAAAAAAAACGGTGACAAAATAGCTGTATTTTGAATTCAGATAAATTTATCTGAGGTGAAGTCCCAGCATCTCTTGAAATCATGAAACTGTTATGGCTTAAAAAATTAAGCAGTTAATGTGATAATTAAATCATGACTAGGGATGCAGCGATTAACCGGTTTCACAATTAACCGCGCTTTAAAATGTCACAGTTAATTAATCGTAAAGGCTCCGCTACACCGAGTGTTTCTGTTGCACGGAACGGAACAGTTGCAACTTGCACAAAACTAAAACAAAGTTACACTAGCGGTGCACCATCTTAAAATGCTGTGCTTATCAGAGACACGGAGGCTACTACACACACTAGATGAACTATGACAGAGGAACCAAACAGCGATCCTTTATTTCCACCAGAGAAATGCCGATAGTGAAAAGTCGATAGTGTGGGACAATTTTGGGTACACCAAGAATGACCAGGGTGTCATTTAAATATTGCCGTAAAAACTGCTGCTAAAGAGCGAATACACGGCTTTAAACTATTTTAATGCAAGACTGACGCGAAGCTGCGGCTCGTTAGCTCAGTATTCTGCCC